CAAGCCTCCAACCCTTAGGGGACAAACCACATCTGAATCCTAGTAAGAATATCACTACAGTATACAAGTAAAGTATGAAAACAATTTCAGAGGTTATACAGGAAGGGACTACTGGAACCTTCTAATATTTACACTTGGACAAATTAAGGTGAAAGTTGATCTTGAGAGAATAAGATGGTTCACCTTAATCTCTCTCTCAGTTTGTGCCCAACCTGGACACAAGGCCAGGCTTGGGCATCGGGAAGAAGACAGGGTTTTGTCAAGGGCAGAGTAAGATAAATTTGAAGGGACTGACAATCTATGCTTCTCAGGGTGTTCCACAGCATTCTCTGAGGACATGTGTGCAGGATTATAGGGGTATGTCTGGTCAGTACCTTCATAGCCCTGGAGGCCATATGGGAATCAGCCTTGGGTTTGGGACTTGGAGAGTTTGCTGACCCTGGGTTACCAAATCACATCACTTTAGGGGATTCTAGATCTTTTTGCTCCAGCCCCAAGATTTGGGACATTCTGTAAAAGAAACTGTCTAACACCTCTCTCACCCTCCTTACAGATTTTGATTGGCTCAGACCTCCAGTGCTGCAGCAGTTCTAAGCTCTGATTTGAAAACACAGATATGGCACCCCTAAAACCCCTAAGGAATTCTTTGGGGATCTCAGTGCAGGTAGAGGGGAAAGACCAAGAGTGGGGTATGCTGAAGCATGCAGACCTCTTATTATCATTCCTGTCTTAACACCTCCTCTTAGGGTTTCTTTTTTGCTTATGAGACAGAAAAGCAACCAGATGGAGACCTGAACTATATTTTATAAAGTGAATATCTGTTCAAAAGAAGAACTCCACTCTGGACAGTCAGAAAGCCACCAGAGCAAGTTGAACATGTTCTCCCTATAAGTCCTGGGATACATGTGTGGTAGACACCATTGATGAGACGCCCTGTCCAAATTCCTTTTACACTCTGATATCCCCATATCTTCCTGGGGCATGGATTATGGGAGCCACCCAGGAAAGCATTGGATATAACAGCTCAGTCCTATTGCTTCAAGTCAGCGCTATAGGACCCTCCAGGGTCCCAGAATCACATGAAGGCTAAACCTGACCTGAGCCAGAGGCCACTCTTGTCCCTTATCTGCCTGCTTCCTGAACTCCCTTCCAGGTTTTCTGAGGAGAACTCCCTGAGTAATCTTGTGCCCCAAAGCACCATGTCCATCTAAAGTCCAGTCATCTCCTGGTGGCCTTGCTGTGAGTGCATCCTTTGGGTCTACTGCAGTCAACTGTACCTTTGACAAGGTTGGCCTCCAAGTTCTTTTTTCCTTCAAGCTTCCAACATAGTTTTCTTGAGTGTGCTTTCCCAGCCCACTCCACAGTCCTGAAGATGCAAAGAACAATTCTGTATCAAGAGTAAATTAAGGCAGATGCCCTGAACTGATATTCCTTCTCAGAGTAAAACACACATAATACCCCAATACCACCATCACCAACAGTTACTCCCCTGATCCTCTCTGTATATCTGTCCTGTGAATCTTGCGCTGTTGTGTTTATCTGGTTGGGTTCAATAGGCAATTCCTGGAGTAGGGGTAGGAATCTCTGAGACTCAGAGAAGAAGAAACTAATCCTGAGACAGGTGGTGGAATCCAGGAACCCAAAAGATGGATCTTAGGGAGGAAATGGAATGGTTTCCTAGACTTCTCAGAGTGTATCATGTTGTCATTGTCCTCAGGTGGTGCAGGTTCTCATGGGGAGGTACTTGGGAGTTAGGCAGAGAGGGCCTGACTCCCACCCAGAGATGGGCAGTTGCACCCAATAGCCAGATCTGTTCTTTTGGGGTTCACTAATTCCTGTTCTCCCCCACTTCCCAGTTTTCTCCTTTCCATGCCTTTGGCAATGTCTTGCTTGAACATATGGGCCCATCTCTCCAGGGAAGAAATGAAGAGTAGGAGGGAAAGGTAGAGGGTGACTGAGGGAAGGCTCAGTCTGTATTTGGGAAGAGTGTCAAAAGAAAGTGTTAGTGAGGTGGTAAGACCACAGACCTGCAGATGATGACACCTGTGAGGGACAGCCAGCCCCTTCAGTAGAGTCTGTCCTCTGTGATTTCTTGCCTTAATTTACTGTACCTTAGCCATGCATATAAGATTGCTCGATCTGCTAGGGTTAAGAGGAGGGCAGACTTCCAGAAGGATACTGGAAATCTGTCTCTTCTACTTTGCTCTTCTGACCAACTGCTCTTTGTGAAGGAAACCTAATGCTAGATGGAACCTGCCAGAGAGAAAGGTTCCCCTGGCCTTAATGCTTACTGAAAGGCACTCTCTGGAGACTGACTTAGGAATCAAAAGTGCCCAAGGGAAAGTGTGACAGGAAGTCCTGTTGAGACATTAAAATCTTAGAGCAGAGCCACTCCGGCTTTCCCAGGAAAGTACCCCAATTCCAGAGGTGTTCCCAGTGCCTTCCTGAGTTGCAGACTCTATGCAGCTGCCACTGCACAAGCATAATATTTCTTTGAATTCTCTATTTCATCTTGAATATTCATGTGAGTTCTGCAATCAACTCCATGATACCTCATGAGGGGTTTTAGAATATGAATGATTTGAGAAGTGGCATAATATATTTGCTAAGAACATGTGGTGTTTAAACCTTTCTACTTAAGTTTCCTCATTTGTAAAATGGGACTAAAATAATATTTACCCCATAGACTATTGTGCTGAGTTAATACACATGAAATGCCAGGTGCATCCAAAATGTAAAATATTAACATTCTTCTACTTATACCCTGATATGAGAAGTACATACAGTCAATCCTCATTATTTCCAGATTCCCTAGTTTTGAATTCACTTACCTGTAACCCCATAATCAATACCTGCAACACATTCAGAGTCATTTGGGGAGTGGTGAGAATTTTGAGTCAACTGATGTGCATGTTCCCAGCTAAGGTTGAATAAGGCAATACTTTGCCCTCTTCTTTCAGCTTTTGTAATGTAAATAAGCATCCTAGTTTTTCTTTCTTTCTCCTTTTTTTCTTTTTTTGGTACTGGAGATGGAACCCAGGGGCATACTACCACTGGTGTACATTCCCAGCCCTTTTTGAGATGAGCTCTTGCTAAGTTGCTGAGGCTAGCCTAGAATTTGTGATTCTCCTGCCTCAGCTTTCCAAGATACTGGATTACAGGTGTGTGACTGCACCTGGCACATTTTTGTCTTTTTTTTTTTTTAGTTGTTGTTGTTGATAATTTCGATGTTTCAAACAGCCCTCAAGGAAGGGCTGAAGTTCTGTCTAGTGTTCCTAAGTAGAAGAAATCTGTGATGTGCCTTGTAGAGAAAATATATGTACTAGACAAGATGCAATGGGCATAAGTTGTAATGCTGTTGCCCTGAGCTCTGTAAATCAATCAACAATGTATGTTAAGTAAGGTGCTTTTTACATAGAAACACACAAAAAGGAAGATAATGTGCTAATTGGTTGATCAAAATTGTGACCAGAGGCTTCAGTATTCATAAATTCATTGTTCAACTTTTTAGAACACAAACATAGTTGAGTCAAGGGACTCCTTCACATTGATGTCCCTCTGCTCATTTTCCAAAAGAATCCAGCCATTTTATCTGGAGTAGACCGTCTCAGAGACCCTCCTCGTGTCAGAGGAAGCCATCAGTGAGTAAGGAAGGGAAGAACAGGTGAGGGAGGCAGGCAGGGCAATTTTTCTGTAAAGTGCAATAGTTTCTGCATTGGAGCAAACACCAGGAAGGAAGGAGAGCAATTGTGGGGATGAATAATACAGATTCTAGAGAGGTGCAGACCTGGGGTTCCAGTCTTGGTGTTTCTATTCACCAAGCAAGTTATTTATCCTCTGAAAAGTCTCAGATTCCTCACAGGTGAAAAGGGATAATGCCACCAACTTCTGCCAGAATGCCCTTCTGACAGTAGATTCACAGCTTGGCACTGCAGCTACAATCAATGACTGTGATGGTAGTTGGGTGGGGGCATAATCCTGCAGACCTCCTGGCCCTTATAAGGAAGCCTCCTGGTATATTGCTGAGATTAAGCCAAGGTCATTTCTCCAAATTTCTAGAATCCCACAAGGCAGCTCATTCTGGCCTTCTCCCCCTGACATGACCACCTTCAACCTCAATTGCAGGCCTGTACACTACATTATCCCGCCAGCTGTGGATTCTGTTACCCAAATCAGCCTTATAGAAGGGGGTGCCTACTGGGCTGAAGAGGCACTCTGCTGGGTCGCCCACTATATGGACAGCTAGGTGTCGTAGGACCGCCCCGCCTCTGTATGGGTCTGCATTGGGGACCCCGGGAAGCAGAGGAGGCGCAGACTGAGAGGGGGCTGCTGATCCCCGACCCTGATCTTTCCTGGGTAGGAGCGCCTAACGCTCTTAGGCATGAGCTAGCAGTCCCAGGCAAACCTCCGTGTAGCCGCTGGGTTTGACTTTGCAGAACTGGCTCCCGGATGGGATGGGTGGAGGCGGTGGGAGGTGAGAGGGGGCGACGGCATCCCT